CTTGAATTAGAGAAAAAGAATATTAAATCAGATTTGATTATTAGAAACAGATTATAATTCTACTAGACTATCTGAATTAAAAGTTTAAAAACAAAAACAGAAATATAATATATATATTAAGAATATATTATAAAGTTAATACTAAAGTTTAGATGAATTCTACAAGGGTAAGCCTTGTTAATAAGAACTAAATATAAGTAGTTAGCTAACAGAAAGGCTATTTAAAGCCTTACAGTTAAGTAACATATTTTAAAATATATAACAGCTTGACAGATTTATAAATTAAGAAGTCAAGCTTAGGTTGAACAGTATTTAAATATATGGAAGCTTGTATGCTATTTGTTAGATATAGTATAGAAATCAGAATATTTAATTAAGTAATTTTCTAGCAGATTACAGGTATAACAACTAGTGTAGAATTTGTAAGTAAACTACTTAAATAAATAGCCAAAAACTGTATATGTAACTAGTTATATATTCATATTGTACAAGTTATATAATTATAATTAAAATACAATAAAAATAGTAGCTACTGATAACTAACAAACTTAGCAAAAACAAAACAAAAATTTGTAAATATTTTTTTAATTTAAAATTATTTAAAATTTATGTATATTTAACTTTTTTGTTAATTTTTTTTAATAATTATTATTTTTTTTAAATATTAAAGTAAATACTTGTGATTTAAAATTTTTTAATAATATATTCAACTAATAGTTGTATTATAATTACAAAAAACAAATATAGTAAGAATATATAATTAACTACTTATACAACTTTAGCTATTGTCTAATTTAAATAATTCATTTAGAGAATGACAAACTTAGTATAATAGTTGGATTGTTATTCTCCAAGTAGCAGATTTAAAGTTAAATTCTACTTATGACAAAATTTGAAAATTAATCTGTATTATAACAAACTGTCTTTTAATAATCGATTGAAGTGGTATATCTGTAACCTTAAGTTGCATCATCTCGAATGAAAGCTTAGAGCATTTATACAAATTATAATATTATATATATATAGAGAAATATTAATAACTAGTATTATATAAAACCTTAGTGCAAATCTATGATAAAACCACTAGGTGCAGTAAACTAAGGAACCAAAGAGTTAAAAGTCTATTTAGAAATTCTCAAGTAAAGAGATAGCATAAACTTTTGATAGTATAATCAAATCAATAGAAGCTTATAAAATACCCTCAAAAAGATAGGCAAATAAACTGAATAACAAGATATATAAAGAAGCATATAACCAACCAGACTGCCAAAATTGTCAGAAGAAAAATATATATATATATATTATACTAGACTATCTGGATTGGAAGTTGAAAGAGTCTTGTTAGTCCTAAGTATAGTTAGTAAGAGATGATAGAGAAGATATTATAATAATAGATACTAGAGTTCTAGTGAACTTTACAAAAGTAGAAATAGCATAACATAGTAGTTAAATAGATAACTTCTGTAACTGCAAGTGTTAAGTAACTATAATATATTGCATAAAATTAGATTAGCTGTATATAGGATACAGAAGGTTCTAGTAAGTTTTCTATTAAGGATAAATTAGTCTTAAGGGTCTTGAAGGCATTAGGTACTTTGAATAGATGTAGTCCAGAAGATGTTTTTGTAATTACAAGTCAAACTATATATACAGAGAGTTTAAATAGACAAGACCTGTAATTGGCTTACAGGTATAGCACCTAGTATAGAATCTGTATAATAATGTATAGATGGACTACTTAAATTAGGCACCAAAAGTGTATATATGGCTGGTTATAATCTTTTATATATGGAATCCTTTAAAGGCATCTATATTCAAATACTTAAATAAAAACATTAATCTCTAAAGGCAAAGACTTAAAAAAAAAAAAAAGTAATCTATTCAAAGATTCTATACTAGCTGCTATATCTAAAACCTGTTTGTAAATTTTCTATTTAAACAATCTAATTCCTATATCTATTTGTCTATTTATATCTATTAATAATTATAATCAATATTAATAAAAATATGCTATAGTTACTAAGTTTTTAAAACTGTTTATTTACATAAAGAAGCTTTAATCTTGTACTAAATTTTTTAGAATTTTCTGTATTTTATTCTTACAACTAACTTAATTATACTATGACTAAAACTAATACTTGTAATTAGAGCATATCATTAAACTGCTATACTTTTGTAAAGTTTATTTCAACTTTAGTACTTACTTTAATAATTTTTATTATTTTTTTTTAGTATTAAGATGACTTTTTTTGGTCCTAACTTTTTATTAATACTTATATTAAACATATGTACATATAGACATATTTATATTGAACTATTAGATAAGTATACAACTAATTATATATATAACTTTTCTATATTACCTATTTAAGAAGTTCATCTAAAGGTTCTTTACTAGTTGCTATACCTAACATCTCTGCTTAAATATTCTATTTAAACTTTTTGATCTGATTCTAGTATTAACTTTACTAGATCATAGACCTAAATTTTTTTGCTATTGATGTTTAAAACTATAATCTTTAGACTATTTTTATCTTTAAGATAAACCTATCAGAGCAAGCTGTATTTTCTTTTATTGCTAATATAATTTAATGTTATGACTAAGACCAACACTTGCAGTCAGAGTTATTTATTAAACTGCTTTATTTTTGTAAGTTTATCCAAATCCTAATACTCATCTTTCTAATATCTTCTTTTTCTTTCTCTACTAACTGCAACTTAAAATTGACAAACTTTTCAGATTTACAATTCAGATAGTCTAATATAGTATACTTATATATTCTTTTCTTTTGGCAATTCTAACAGCCTAATTGATGCATATGTTTTTCTTATATACTTGTCATTCAGTTTATTTGACAATTCTAATGAAGGTGTTTTATAAGCTTTCATCAGTTTAACAGTACTGTTAAAAGTTTATGCTATCTCTTTACTTAGAATTTCTAAATAGATTTTTGTCTTCTTAGTTTCTTAAGCTTTTATGCCTAGTAATCTTATCATAGATTTGTACTAAAACCTTATATGATACTAACTTTTTATATTCTTTTATATATATATAATGTTATATTTTATATAAATACTCTAAGCTTTTAATATCAGATAGAACCTAACTTGGTGTATCTAAGATTATTATAAGTTGAATAAATAAATAAAAAGTAAATAATAAGTAAATAACAAAAAAAAATTTGTCATTATTCTACTCTATATTTGCCAAATAATAGTAACATAACAGCAGCATAATAGCAGAATAACAGTAAAATAACAGGATATTTATTAATATGAGTAACATAATAGTAAAATAATAGAATAGTTATATTATTTTACTTTTAGTTACAAAGACTAAAAATAAAATAATAGAACTGTTCTATTATTTTACTATTATGTTACTATTATATTACTCATATTGACAAACTTTCTGTTATTTTACTGTTATTTTGCTATTATGTTGCTATTATGTTGCTATTATTTGGCAGATATAAGATAGAATAATAGCAGATTTTTTTTCTATTATTTACCTATTATTCACCCTTTATTTATTTGTTCAATTTGTATATAGATGCCTAAAATCCAACTAATTAGCAAAAAACAATTACTATAACATAGGTATAATTTTCAAAATTCATCATTCATAGGAATTAAACATTAGAGCTGCCACTTGAGATTAACAACCTATTCATTTCACTAGGTCACCACATCTCTTTAATAATTATTTTTATTATATTATATATATAATATAATTATAGAAAAGTAAAGATATTTATATTATACCTCTTAATGTAATTTTACTGTATAAAATGTTATAGTAAAATTACAAATTACTTTAAATATTAGATAAATTTTAAATCTAACTTATATAAAAAAGTTTCAAAATTTTAAATCAAAATAATAATTAACATAGTTAAAAAATTAACTAATTTTACTAAAAATCATCAAAATTTTATTAATAAAATTCACACATTAAGAAAAACTACTTAGCTAATAATTTTGATCCAAAAATAATTAACTTTATATTGCTAAATACCAACTTAAATCTAATAATCTAATTCAAAAATTTGATAATTTCTTTGTAAAAATTGCTAAATTTTGATTACTTCAATAATCTATTCTGTAAACAAAAATCTATAAAATTTTAAATATAAAATTTTTACATAAAATCTAAAATTTTAAGTATCAACTCAAATTTTCTAACATTTATAAATTCTAAAAAATTTTATATTAAATTTATTTAAAAATTTTCATACTACATTAGTTTGCAGTAAGACACTCACTGTACGGGCAGAATATTTCAGAATTTCACATTTCTAGCCCGCATTAGCAGAAAACTACCACAACATGAACCTGTGCAAACTGCACACTAGATTCAAAAACCTTCAATTTGCCCATTCCTAGTAATATGTATTTTATTTTTAATAAAAACTTATTTAACTTCTAAGACGTACAGAATATGTAGTTTGTATTAGATCTTGATACCGTATAAATTTATGTGACTTAGTACGATTGATTCAGAATCCAAACTTGTGTTCTTATTAGGCCTCCGCAAAGGACTGGGAACTGAATTAGGATATTTAATTTTTGGATCCAGGGTAACGATAAGGGCTAGACTTGCCTTATATTGACGGGTAGAATTACTATCCGGCCCTGGGTAGGGATGGCATGTGATTTAAATCGCAATGATATGAATCACTGATTTTTATTTAAATCAAGTCAGAATTTGAATGATTTAAATCATGATTTTTGCCATAATATATGAGTGCTATAGAGTGAAACCTGGAAGTGAGTCCTTAAGTTTATCACTGTAGCTGACTGTCTTTATTATACATTATAAAACTAAGTCCGCTACAGTGATAAACTTAATGATTCACTTCCAGGTTTTCACTCTACAGCATTCATATATAAGTATTACCAAGTACTGTTATAAAAATAAATTCAATTATCTCTACGGGTAACCCAAGTGTAGCCCTTTGGCAAAGGGTAGGGTATGGCAGGGTTGGCAATGGACTATGATGAGTTCTGAGAGAAATGTCAATGGACATAGTCCATTGACATCTAAGCCACATTTTGGTCCATTGGCCAACCTAGGGGTATGGGTATGGTTACTAATGAATGAACTTAAATTTAAATTTAAATCAAACTTTATCAAAATTCATCTAAAATTTATTAAATGTTTGTTATCAGAAAAAATTTTACATTTTTAAACCTAAAATTAAATCATAATGAGATGGGGAAAAGTATACCAACCAGACTGCCAAATTTTATTATTACGACAACACACCATTTTTTTTAACTATCACTACCCATGATACAATTTGTTTCAGCACTGAATATCGAATTGGTTATCAGAGGAACTTCGGAAAGTATTTTCGGTTGTCAAAGAAATAAATATTGGGCAAATAATGTATGTGTAAATGTGGGCGTTTTTATTGGATGACGATAAGATTATTGACCCTTGTGAAAAAATTGTTCCCGGTGAATTTTTCCAGTTTATTTCTATATAATAAGTATAACACAAAGTTGTACGTATAACGATAGTTGATTAACCTAGTTAGCTATACGTACATGTAATAGGTATTAACTAATGCTAAGCACCGAATTTTTAAATAATTTTTAAGGAAAATATACTATGATTTTCGAATCTTCAAAATCTTGCGTATAGTGATATCTTAATAACGCGCAAGTTATATCGGCAATGGAAAAGTCTATTGTGTACAGTCCCACCCTTTTTAAGCTTATTGATTTTGATACTATTTGCGCAAAAAAAGAATTTTCCCTTCCTTCTGAAATTCTGACTCCTCAGGTGATAGCGGAAAGATCAAGCACCAGATTTCCTGCGCGTCAGTCAAGGCCAAATGGCCCATATTCGTTTGACCTTGGCGAGGGTTCTTCAGCTTCAACTTTGACATCGCACAAAACGATTAAGAGAACTTATGCTAACGGCAATAATGAAAACTACTCAACGTCTGCCTGGAGATCATTTCAAGGTCGATCTTATACAGCTCGAAAAAGAAAAAATAGTCGTCAGTTAGATGAAGAAGAAATCAGGGCACTTCCAGGTAAATATTTTTCCGTTACCACAACGTTGTTAAAGTTTCAAATTCACAACTTATTATTTTTTTAGAACAGCCAAAATATGAAAAATATAATGCACGTGCATTTAGTGAGAATCCTTTCATGAAACAAACCACACCATCGACACTTGTCAAAGGATCTTACAAACTGAATGCTGAAAAAATAGAGCGTTCGTTTTTACAAGCCTGTTTTAAGTTAGTGTTTAAATTGTTTATATTTGGATATTACACGTTCTATAGTCATATTAATTTTAGTATTCATCGCTGCTGTTCAGTCAACATGTTAATGCTTTAATTCAAGCTGCTGAATGGCTTGAAAACAACGTATGTATTGATTTTTACATCTTACAATCACATTTTCGCATTGTTAAAATTATAATTATTTTATTTTGTTAGAGCATATCTGACATCGGCAACTAGTGATTATAGTCGATTAAAACTTATAAGCTAGCCGAGTCAGTAATTTTTGATACGGTTAAACTGGCTTAGTCGATTATTATCTCAAAATTAAATCTGCTAATAATAAACTGTGATCCGGAAACTCCCACTGGCCACGCTCGTATTTAATTATATTATTTTACATATATAAAGATAGAACGCCATATTGTATGTTCCTAAAGTTAAAAAAAAAAAAAAAGAAAAAGATGCCAGAGAGCAGTATATATAGTATATGGACCCTAGATGATTATAAAGCATTGAAAATAATATTATTAATATTTAGAATAATACTAAATTAATTTTTTCTAAACATACTATATAATTAGTAAAATTTAACAATATTGCTATGAAATAAAAAAGAAATCGTAATTAAGAGTATTTAGTCTACAACAATCAGATAAATTATAGAATTATTATAACCTGTGCCATTGGTTAGAAATAACTACCCTTATTAAACCTTAAGGTTAGGGTGCAGCTTTAAGATAAATAGAAGGTTTTATATAAAATTTTTTTTTTAAATAACATAATATAGATCGGGTATCAGGTTCCGATCTTAGTTCTCGTGAGGTTTTTAGGATGCTGAACATTTTTACTTAGTATACCAGACTACCGTTTCATAATGCAGTTTTCGAGATATAGCATAGTGGTTATCTATAATCACTGGCACAAGTTAAAAATATCTTAAATTATAAATAGATTGTAAAAAAGTTTTTATGTAGATAAAAAACTATTTAAATTTTATTTTGCAAAATAAATTATATAAAGTATATATGTTATATGAATTATAATAAATTGATAGATTAACAAGTATAGATTTAAACATCAAAAGCACAATAATAAATAATAAGTTTTTGAGATATATAATAATTATGTATTTATAAATATATGATTTTTATGTTTTAATATAAATTAAAATATTTTTTTATTTTTTGTTTTATTATTGTTTTGAAATAGTAGAAAATAGGAAAAAAAATTTTAAGTATACTGTTTATACTTGTATACTGAATGTCAATTGATTATTTTAAGATACCAGAATTAGTCATTTGACAATTATAAAGTTTAAATAATTTTTTTTATTTTTTTGAAATGCTAAAATAGAAACTTTATTAAGTAATAGGAGTAATTACATTAAAAATTTCCAAACTACATTTGTATTACTTATTTAAGACACCCAATGTGACATTATACCTCCATTTCTATATAACACTATTATTAATTATTTCAAATTAATTTTAAGTATAGAAAGATTAGAGAAAACCTAAGGTGATAGTCTTAACATTTAGTAAATACAATTAGTAAGTTTGTAGCCTAAAATTAATCAGTTATTAATAAATATAGTTGGGTTTATAGTAGGTGTATTGGTAGTATTAAAGTTAGAATAAAAAGATAGAGTCAAAACATATATTTTTGAATGTTTAGATTTGTTAGTTATGTTGTGAGTTTTTTCTATTGTTATTAAGAAATGTTATGTAATAGCTATATATGTTGATAAAACCAATTAAGGAAAGCATTTGATAGAGCTATAAAAAAGAATAAAGTTGTTTTATAAAATAATATTTTAATATTATTATATTAAGATATAAAGAAAAAGCCTTGAATAAAAATAAAAAAATAAAAATGTAATAGAGTATTTGATTGTTGTAACAAAATAGTATAGATTTTATCTATAAGTTCAAAAGAGATATTTAATTATTGAATAATATTTGAAATTAAAACTTAGAGAATTTGTTGAAGGCTATATTTTTGTTTAGAATATATAAGAAGATGTAATATATTTTTAGAAATTTGATACGAAATGCAGTTTGAAGTAATATATAAGAGAAAATATTGTAAATTGAGGTTTTGTATAATAGATAAGTTGTTATTAATAATTTTAAGACAGAATATACAAAATTTTTGATTATTGTTTAGAAAATTAATAATATTAGCATTAGTTGATTATTTAATAAAGAATAGGTTTTGAAAGCATTTAAGTTGTAATTAAGAAAGAAGTAATTATATAATTATTTTGTTTTGTAAAAATAGTTAAGTTTTAGTAAGTATTATAGAATTATATTATTTAAAATAATCAAAAAATAATATTATAAAGTTGAATTTAATTAAGTGTTTAGAGATATCTTATTTGGTTAAGAGATTAGCTTAATTATAAAAAGAATTATTAAAATGAAATTTAACTTTGTAAAAAGAGATATTAGGAGATTTTGTTTAAATAAAATAGTAAATAATAAATAAAATATCATAATTTTTAATATATAAAAATTTATATAAGAAAGAAAATAATTGAATGTTTTTTAGAGTTAATAAATTGTCTAAGTGTATATTGTTTTGTAAGTTTATTAATAAAATAAGTAAAAAATAAGCAAATAGAGATGGGGTTCTGTAGCCTAGTGGTCTAGGCGCCCCTCCTTCTACAGACAAGGTTGACAGTTCAATTCCAGCTAGAGGCAAAACTCTGTAATTTATGGAAGCATATGAATGTACACAAAGCTCTGTGGCTTAAGTCCATGTGAATAAAAGATCAGTATATAAGGAAGTTCTCAGAAAGAAGTTTCCTGATATGGAGAGTTGGCACTTGATGCAAGAAAAGCAGTAAACATATCAGAAATGGAGAGAAGACGTACTAGCGAGTGATACGATGAACATAAAAGGAAACTATGAGAAAGAAATAGACTTACTGAAACTTGAACACCTCTGGCATCAAAACTGGTTTAGTGGATACGAAATACACTAACACAGATAAAATCTAAGGGAGTAATCTTGGTACTATACTTAGTAAGTCTGCATCGAGGGTAAATTTGAAGGACTATGAATACTCGGTAACATCTAATAAGATGGTACCTTGATATAAATAGTAATTAGATAGCCCTAACCTGATATGTCTATATAGTAATAGAAGGTTGTAATGCATAGAATTGAAAATCAGAAAGTTTAAATAGGAGATTTACAGGCGGATCTCAGATATGGTAGCTAGTGAGTAACCCTCAGGTGGAATCCTTAATAAGATAATGACTAAAGTTATATGCGTAGCTAGTTATACTTTCGTTGATAAACTATGTATTCATTAATAACTAGATATTATTCAATAAAAGACAGACAGGCAAGATTGCCGCTTATAACACAAAAAAAAAAATTAAATAAACAAATACTTCAAGTTCTATTCAAGTAAAATTAAAATATGAAGAAATTACTTAGTTAAATTTAATTTAAATTTTATATTTAGAAATTTATCTAATTCTAATTATTGGATATGATGTTTGTGCATTAATAATTAAAATATCTATATAGAAATAAGTATTATTTGGAAGGTTTTTAGTTAATAGAAATAAATTAATAAGTTAATTTTAATAATGAGAAGAAGATATGTTTTTTTGAATTATTTGAATTTCTATATTAAAAATGTAGATAGTTGGTATTTAGAATAGTATAGAAGGTGAAATTGCTTGTTGTTAAATATTAATAAATGCATAAATTTTATAATTATTAATATAGAGTAAATAATTGTTATTTTTTTCTGATAATTTAATATAAGAAATATTAATAAAAGTTTGAAATATTGGTATAGAAAGTTAGTAGAAATTAGAGATATTAATTCAAAAAAGATATAAAAAAAAAAAAGTTAAATAAATTTTTAGTAAAAAAAATTTAAGTTGTTAAGAACAAGAGACTATTTATTTAATGATAATAAGTAATAAGAAGTAATTGTATTAAAAAAATTAATAAAGATATTAATATTTAGTAATTTAAAATGTAGTTATATTTGAAAAATTGTATTGTTTTAAATAAAATTAAAAAGTTTTTTTTTGATATAAAGATGACTTCTTTGATCTTTTGACTTTTATTAACTTATTAGTAATGTGATTCTATGAACTACTGTACTATAGGAAAGAGTACAATTAGCTACTGTATAACTTTTTTTATATTACCTATTTAAGAAGTTTGCTTAAAGGTTCTGCACCAATTGCTATATCTAATACTTCTACTTAGATGTTCTACTTTAAACCTTCTGAACCTGTAATCTGTGTTAACTCACTGGGTTATATTCAGATGCCCAAATTATTATCTTAACTTTAGGACTAATTTATTCTCAAGATAAATTCTTTAGAGCCTTTTGTATCTATTTTTATAGCTAACCTAGCTATTACTATAGTAGAACTAACACTTGTAGTCAAAGTTATATCATTTAATTACTGTGTTCTTGTAGAGTTTATACAAACTTCAGCATTTACTTTACAGCATAACTCCAATACTTTAGTATACTTCTGCCTTTTATCTAGTCTTTTTACTAAATTTCTAATTCAAATAGCCTATGTAAGATTATGATCAGTTTATCAATATTGTAATAGAATTTACTTTTTTTTTCTATATTAAGTATATATTTATTTTTAGCTCTATATTATATTTTATATTTTTTCTAATATTTTTACATAGTTTATAAATTATTTTA